CCCCAAAACCCCAAAACCCCAAAACCCCAAAACCCCAATCTCAAGCATAGTATTGATAACACATAATCTAATTTTTATTTCCTTGAAGGCAATTTGTAGTCATCAGAGTTGAAGGCAAAGGGTCCATTAAGACCCACATTTGTGCCTACGCTTTTAAGGATAGTTTTCTCCTCACTGGCATCTGAAGAGCTTAAGATTTTGGAATCTATTTTTATGTGAATATCTTACCATTTGTTATGAGCTTGGCACCTTCAGTTCATGTATGGTTCTTCTCTAGTGGATTGCCAACAATAAAATTAGTGTTATCAGCATAGAGAATATCTTTCTCAACATCTAAATGGCTCGAAGTGATGTTGAGCATATGCTCTTTTTCTTGTACTACAAATTTTATTCCCTAAATACCTGAGATTTTCTCTTTGCTTGTGTTCCTTGTCACCTGCTGAGAGTTTAGATATGAAGTGTTTCTTCTGAGGCGAACAAACTTTTGGCTCAAGTGAGCATTAGAACCGGGTTGGGAGTTATTGTATTGATCATCTACCATTATATTTTTATCATTGAAGTGATCTCTAGGAGTCTCTATATATCCTTTGCTTATTCTATACGATCACTACAAACCTTACCATTCTTCATTAACTGACGATAGTTTATCAGGGGTTGGCCCATTCTTGAGTGGAGGAGGAATGAAGACATGAACACCTCTTTGAGATAATCGTATTGAGTTCTCTCTAAAACCTAAAGCCCTCTTTCTAATTCCCTTTTTAATGATAAATTTAGATTGGGTCTGACGAGTCATTCTTATTTGATCTTCATGTTGTTGATGTATCTGAGGATCTTCATACACTTCCACTCTTGAAGTAGAACTTAAATTCGCTTCATCAAGTGCTTTCTTAAATGCTAAAGTTGTAATCTCTATCATACCTTGGTTGAGTTTTTCTTCTGAGTCTTTTGACAAGAGTTCCTCTCTCATCAGACTGATTCTTTTTGCAGATTGTTTTAATTCGTTTTCTAAAATTCAGAGATTTCAAATACTTCTGGAATCAAAAGTTCCTCCTCTAATATGATCATTAACAAATATTTGACTGATAGAAGAGCTATTACGAGACTGTAGTCCTGTTAGATTGGTATTATTTGTGTTTCTCATCCTGCTTCTAATTTATTAAATTTGAGTATACTTTCTCAAGGTATTCTTTGTAAACGGAATTATCTTTCTCTGGTTTTTCTATAAATTATACTAAAAAGAGTGCCTTAGCATCAGGATTTCTCATAGTCAACTTGTTTTTACCCAATACTGAATTTTTCTTTCACTTAAAGTTCTTGTATTGCTTAGTGATTCGAGGCTCTTGAGCAACCATTAAATTCTGATTCTTTCTTGTCTTGCCCTTCAAAGTGGTTTTGTAATTCTTCAGGAAAGTTTTAGCACGATTGAATTGCTTTCTATACTTTCTTTTTCTTTTATCAGGAGTAGCTTTCTCCTTTGAAAGGTCACATTCAAGAGTGGAGGAATTCCATCCATCTTTCTTTGCGCTTAGCTGACGTCTCACTATTCTATTTGGAATGTTCAGAACCAGATGGGCTGCCTAAGGAGGTTATTTGAATCAAATACCTTATGGTTCTTCCGCTTCTTCTGAGACCTTGTTAAGCTCTTATTTTATCTTCGAGGATTGTACAAATAGCTTATCAGAAGTTTTATTCTTGCTTGTTTGAGGCCGGTTCTTTGTAATATAACTATTTTTGATGCTCCTATTTTGCTTATTTTTGGTCCTAAACTTCTTGGTCTTAGTAATATCTTTGCCATTATACTGCATGACTTTCAAGTTGAGGGCCTCTCGGACTTCAGAGCCGAGGTCAAGATCCCCATGGTGAAACAAACTTTCATTAGCTGAAAGGAAGATATTATTGGTATCATATTCTTGTCATTTCATTCTTTTTGCGTAAACATCTTAAAATTTTAGAGAAATTTACTTTTGCAAGATCGCACTCTTCCAGATTCGAAATTATCATTTGTTGTTAATTTATTCTATCCTTAGACTAACATTTACTGAGGTCAATTTTCTCAATCTGGATTTCTTTTTGAGACCCTAGCACGTTGGAGCTAGTGTAAGTATCTCTTGAGCTTCGTCTCCGAACGTAGTTTTTGAGAGTTGGTATTTTGAGAGTTATTGATCTCAAGTTTAGGTCCAGTTGGTCATCCAAATTATTACCGTATTTGACACTAAAAGGGTTATTATCCTCCTTCATAATTTCTAAATCTAAAACTTAATCAATTAGATACGTTCTTGATCATGAGTAATGCTATGAATTAATGGTAAGGCTTACTGTAGATCTGTAATGCCATTGCAAATATTCATGTGAGCATGGTTGACATCTGCATCTAAAATTTGAACAGACATTTACCTTTGAAGCCTAGAAATAAATTCGTTGACTTACTTGACTCTTCTTTATTCAACTTTTCAAAATATTTTATTCTCTTAACTTCAAAAATTTTACAAAAAATTACTGTGGAAAGTATCATTGAGGATTCTCTTCATCTTGCCAGTTTTATGATTATTGAGGCTAAATAATAGTAGAATAGGATACCTGCTCTCACAAGAAGGATTCTGTGTATTGTACTGGGCTAAATCAATATTTTGCCCTTCTACATCAGTATTTCTTTTTATCCGTCTTTTGATATTATCAGGGCTCATAACCCCAAGATCTATGAGAATAAATAGTCTTTATACCTTTTGAATGAGATACAATAGATGCTGTTTTATGATTATAAAATCTCTTTTTGGGTTGCTTAAATCAAGCTAAATTTAAAAATAGTAATTTACGCTTAATCAGTCGCATGCTTGATATAGGCTGTCTCTCTTCAACCTTTAAAGCTTTCTGGTGCTCTACACGAAGGAATTATCAAAGCACAAAAGCAATGAAATCAATGGGTGATTACCCTGAGTCTTCTCTCAACGTTTAAAAATAATCCTATTCTTTCTTTCTTCATCCATTTTATTAAATTCTAAATAAAGGGGTTTTGGGGTTTTGGGGTTTTGGGGTTTTGGGG